AATAAATAAATAAAATCTTAAAAAAAATAAATAAATAAATAAATAAAAATAAAAAAAGGGAGGAGGGGGGAATATGTTTCTCCCTCTGCCCCTCCCCCTGCTCATGCTCTATCAAATATTAAATAATCTTAAAAATAAATTTAATTAATTAATTAATTTTAAAAAGGGGAAACTGGGGCGCCTGGGTGGCTCAGTCAGTTAAGCATCCAACTCTATTTCAGCTCAGGCCTGCATCTTAAGCCCCGCTTAAGATTCTCTCTCTCTCTCCCCCTGCCACTCATGCACTCGTTCTCTCTCTTAAAAAATAAAATGAATTTTAAAAAATAAATAAAAATTTAAAAAGGGGAGTAGAATAAGGATTATGGTGGCAAAAATGATGGGGCCACACTGAGAAGTAAAAGTGGACCAATCATAAGAATCCTAATTAAAGCGCTGGCCAATTCCTTTCATCTTAAACTTTTTAGGTATAAAAATTTATTACTTTAAGTACAGGAAAACAAAAGGAAATAATATTGAGAATATGAAGTTGAGGTTCTAGTCATCACCCCACATACTATGGACTTAGAGGAGTACATAAACTAATAAATGTGCCTAGTCTCTGAAAGCAATCAGCTAACACATACAGGCCTTTAAGAGCATAGCTATTCATTTTCAGAATGCATGATGAATACCATACATGGTAATAAAAGATATGACCACGGAGCCAAGAGGCAATATTTTACAGTAAAATTACACAGGTCTGTCCCTTAGCTGTGTGGCCATGAGTAAGCTGTTTTACCTCTTTTTTAACTATTTCAATTATAAAACATATATTTAAAACAAAGTTAAAAGTTCATTAAAAAAGGATACTCATCTCAAAGTGTTGCAAAGGTAAATGGCATTACGTATGCAAAACATGTAGTACTTTCCTGACATCAGCACCAGTACATAGTAAATTAAATATAATGCATAAGCTGCATTTAAAAAAATAAATAAAAACAAAAACCTATTCTCTTTACAAACTGGGTCCTTCCTAGTCATCAAAATCCCTTTTTATCCCTAACATCCACTATGCAAAGTGATTATTCCAAGGAAAATCAGAGGACTTCCTGGTGCCCTTTAAGATTTGATTTTATTTGATTAATTGATTTGAGAGTGCGAGAGCATGTGCTAGTGGGAGCAGGGGAAAGACCAGAGGCGAAGGGAGAGGGAGGGTCTGAAGCAGGTTCTGGGCTCAGCCCCAACTCGGGGCTCAATCTCAGGACCCTGAGATCATGACTTGAGCCAAATACCAAGAGTCCAGTTTAACCAACTGAGCCACCCAGGCACCCCTCCTGGTGCCCTTTCATTCTCTTTATAAGGAAAATTTAAGGACAGGGATGCCTGGGTGGCTCAGTCGGTTAAGCATCTGCCTTCAGCTCAGATCATGATCTCAGGGTCCTAGGATCAAGCCCTACACTGGGCTCCCTGCTCCTAGGGAAGCCTGCTTCTCCCTCTCCCACTCCCCCTGCTTGTGTTCCCTCTCTCACTGTGTCTCTATCAAATAAATAAATAAAACCTAAAAAAAATATATAAATAAATAAATAAAATAAAAATTTTAGGACATAACGTACCATAAATTTACATGTGATCTATCCAAACACAGCTTTTAAATAAGAGCTAAGCAAGTATCTTAGTAATCCTTCCAATACCTGGGTGAGACAGGTCAAAGGCAGCATAATTTTCAAAACTGCAGGATAATTTTAAATACCTTTTGGTAATTGAAAAAAAACAATATATGTTCACTATAGAAAATTTAGAACAGTAAAATAAACAAAAATCACCACAATATAATCACTGCTGAAGTACTTTGGGTACATTTCATTCTAGTCATTTTGTAGCTTCTTTATCAATGGAATTGATGTCCAACAGTTAAATTATGTGTACACTTAAATTACATAAATTCAAATTATCAGTGTTTATGGGACGCCTGGGTGGCTCAGTTGGTTAAGGGTCCTACTCTTGATTTCAGCTCATGTCATGATCTCAGAGTCATAAGATCAGGTCCCATGTCGGGCTCCCTGCTGGGCATGGAGTCTGCTTAAGACTCTCTCTCTCCCGCTGCCCACCCTCACCACCCCCGCTCACTTGCTCTAAAAAAATAATAAATTAATTAAAAATAACAAAACAAACAAACAAAAAACAAATCCTCAGTGTTTATGAGTCCAATTAAGGGCACATGTCCCTGAGGATGAATGAAATGGGAAAAGTCTCAGTTCTTAACTTCTAATAAGTAGCTATTGTTCTCGGATTCTAATGTTTAAACAGTTATTTTTCATGCATTCATAGTTCCTAATCAAAGAAACAGCCAACTATTCCCCTCCAAAGGAAAAACTAGCTCTCTTGGATATATTATGATATGTTATGGCAGGATACACACCAATATAGCCTCTCTAAGGGATTTTCAAAGGGATTATGTCTATACAAAATTTCTGCATTTCATGCTGACCACAGGCTATAACTCAGGGGATACCATTCCACGGTCTAACTTTGAGAAACCATTTCCGTGTTACTGATATTCATATACATATATATTTTTAAAGATTTTATTTATTTGACAGAGAGAGACACAGCAAGAGAGGGAACACAAGCAAGCGGAGTGGGAGAGGGAGAAGCAGGCTTCCAGTGGAGCAGGGAGCCTGATGTGGGGCTTGATCCCAGGACCCTGGGATCATGACCTGAACCAAAGGCAGATGCTTAACGACTGAGCCACCCAGGCACCCCTACCGATATTTAAATTGTTTCCAAACTGTCTCTAGAAATAGTACTGTTGAAATGAGTATAGTCAGTTCTAAGGTAATCTTTTTTTTTTTTTTTTTTAAGGTAAACTCTATGTCCACCAACATGAGGCTTAAACTCACAACCCCAAGATCAAGAGTTGCATGTTCTACTGAATAAGCCAACCAGGCACCCTTGGGTTAATCTTTCTCTGTCTCTGTTCCCTCCTTAGGTCAGCACAGGGGTTTATTTATTAGTTCAAAGGATATGATACTCTTATTTTTAAAGGTCTTAATACATGCTACCAAACTGTCCTCCAGAAAGCTTAATGTTTTTTATTATCATTCTCATCCCACTTAAACATTATCTTTTAAGATCTAATTTTTATAAAACTAGTTTTATATCCTGGAAGACAAAGATAATAAAATGTTTGTGATTCATTTACAATAAATTATTTTAAAAGAAAAATTGCCTGACATACATCTCTAAAAATGACAGGTTTATTCTGCAACAAAGATAATGCTGTTTTGGTAGTTAAACAATCTGTGGTATAACTGCTTGAAAATCTATACAAATGTTTCCATTTGTACAAATGTAAAACATTCCTTTATTTTTTTTTTTTTTAAAGATTTTATTTATTTATTTGACAGAGAGAGACACAGCGAGAGAGGGAACACAAGCAGGGGTAGTGGGAGAGGGAGAAGCAGGCTTCCCGCGGAGCAGGGAGCCCGATGTGGGGCTCGATCCCAGGACCTGGAATCATGACCTGAGCCGAAGACAGATGCTTAATGACTGAGCCACCCAGGTGCCCCCCTTTAACTTTTTATAAATCATTGTATTATATGGTTCCCCCACCACCAAAAAAAGAAAAGGTTGAAAGAGGAAGCACTTGATTATTACCAATGAAAATGGAATATAATCTACCTGTTTAATTATACAGAAAAAAAAATCTCATTTAATTATATAGAACAAATGTCATACACTCTAAATATGTGCTCCATTTTCAAATTTTGTTTGATAGAAATGAAAAATCAATCGAGAGTCACAAAAAGAAAGAGAAGAACCTTAAATGCATATTACTAAGTAAAAGAGGCCAATCTGAAAGGCTACATACTGTATGATTCCAACTATATGACGGTCTGGGGAAGGGACAACCACAGAGACAGTAAAAAGATCAGTGGCTGGGGAGGTGATGAATAGCTGGAGCACAGGGGATTTTTAGGGCAGTGAAAATATCCTGTATACCATAATGATGATACATGTCAGTGAACATCTGCCCAAATCCTTAGAACATACAATACCAAGAATGAATTATAATGCAAACTACAGACTTTGGGGGATTATGATGTGTCAATCATACTTCATCAATTGTAACAAATGTCCCACTCTGGTGGGGGATGTTGATATAATGGGGGAGGCTGTGCATGTGTGAGAGCAGAGGGTATGTGGGAAATTTCAATTTTGCAGGGAACCTAAAAATGCTCAAGACAGCAATGTTTTAAAAAGACTGTTATAGAGCTAGAGATCTGTACTCAATTTTCAAACAACAATATATCCATCCAAACATCAATAGATCCATTCTTCATATCCCCGTTTTAAAAAAGCTGGACTTCCGTGGTAAGTATGGACTCAAATCTCAAAGTCAAAGGTAACTAAAATTGTTTCTCTAAAAGGATAAGTATGTCCATGAATTTTGGTCACTTTTGCTTTCTGGACCTAGAATATCACTAAGTATTTGAATTATCCTCTTTGTCCTACAATTTGGTCTACAGTATACTTTTTATCTTGCTGCCTCCTATCCTATCCCTTTTATGTTTTTGAAGATTTTAAGGAGAGATTCCATTATTTTAAATTCCTCCCCCCTGCCAATTTCAGAGCATTTACCCTTGTCTAACAAAACTATTAAGTTAAAGGAGTGATAAAAATAGACTGGGTTGTGAGATCTTAGGATGATACTCTAGACATCTTTACAAGAGGACACATACATATCTTTCTACACTTCTTGGGTTCGTATCTGGGAAAAGACTTTTTTGCACCCAAGGAAGGAGCAGAATTAGAACACTTCTGTGTCTTCCCCTCTATGCTTCACTTTTTTATCCTCATGAAGAAGTTTCTTACTATTAGAAGAGGTTGCTGAAGAGTCCGACATTCAGTTACCGTTCTTTACAGGGCAATTAATGTGTTCAGGGATTGGAGACACCTCTTGACTACTACCCTCTTCAAACCTTTACATGTGGTTTTGAAAAAACTGCTCGATTTTAGATGAAGATCATTTCATAAACAAAGTCAGACCAAAGTTTTTATATGCTGCCTCTTTGGCAGGAAACATTTTAAAACATTACTAATCAACATATGGTTTAAAAAAAAAAAAGGTTAACAAATCATACATTATATACAATGTGTATGATATTATGTAACACAAAATGGGGTATATAAATGCACAGAATAAGATCTATTTATTTACCTCTTGATGGAAGAGAGTCGGATGAAATATGAAAATTCCACATTTTATTTTTTGTTTTAAGATTTATTTGAGAGAGAGAGGAGAGGGGCAGAGGGAGAGAGAGAATCTCAAGCAGACTCCCCACTGAGCGCAGAGCCCAATTCGAGGCTTGATCTCATGACCCTTAACCGAAATCAAGAGTCGGATGCTTAATCAACTGAGCTACTCAGGCACCCCAAATTTCTCCATTTTTAAAAATAAGTATATATTCATACTTTACACTAATAATAAAAGAAACAAGTACTTCAAAAATTAAATACTTACTGTGTAATTGAATTCTGAACACTCTTTTCATTTAATGTCATTCCGGGAGGTGGGTCATTTTGCAAAGCCAACAGTTCTTTCTGCAGTCGTTTCTAGAAAAGAATATCAACAATAATTTGTACTTTGAAAAAAATGACAATATAAACATCCTCTAGCTTCACAGACTGAAATCCTTGACTAAATTTCCTCCAAATGCTCACATCTTTTTCCTCTGCAAGTCCTTTACATCTTGTATATATCTTATATGCCTCTCTAATTTTTAATTGTTTGTCCTATAATTCACAATCAAAACATTTCTAAATATCCTGTTAACACTGATGCTGTAAAGTGGTTATGAAGAGCAGATAGCTACCTACAAAACTTCATTGTTACTCCACTGAGGTTATAAGATCTCAGCCTAGGTTATAGCTGCTTAAAAGTTTTAGCAGTGTTTCCTTTACTACTTTCCAATTATGAAAACCACAGTTCTCCATCATCCTTAAAGAATGTGTCATTTCAGACATACAAGCTTTTCAAAAACACTATACGAGTAATCATACATGCAAAAAGCCTTTGGAAAGTGTTCTGAATAACTTTTAATTTACAATTTACAGACCGTATTTGTTTTCATTTTTAAACAGGATACCTATACATAATTTAAACCTTCAATACTAGAATAGAACATATCATGGCCTGAAATATAGTTTTTTCTCTACATATTAGATGCCCCCAAATTGCTATATTTTACATTCTTGTTTATATAGTTTTTATTGCTCAACTCTTCCCATGTTACCACTAGTGGACATTCTTTTTCAGTATACAACAAAGCAAAACAAAAACCACAGAAGCCCATAGCTTATGGGTTTAAAAACCAAATAACCGATGTTATTAGAATTGCATATAACTATAAAGACTCTTTTTTTTAAATTTTTTTTTAAAGATTTTATTTGTTTGACACAGAGAGAGAGAGATAGCGAGAGCAGGAACACGTGCAAGGGGAGCGGGAGAGGGAGAAGCAGGCTCCCCGCCAAGCAGGGAGCCTGATGCGGGGCTCGATCCCAGGACCCTGGGATCATGACCTGAGCTGAAAGCAGACGCTTAACGACTGAGCCACCCAGGCGCCCCACTATAAAGACTCTTAATGAGCATCTTTTCTTGGATTAAAGCAGACAAGCATGGATATCTGTTCAGAACTCAACAATTCTCTGCTTAAAAGCTAGCTTGTGCTTTTTCCGGACAATGAAATATTACTAACAATATAGCAAATGTTTCTACATCTTTTCAGTGTATGATACCTTAAATAAGCTTAACATCACCCAACACCATTACAGATTAGAAAACTCCTCCCTTCTCCATTGAGAATCACTGAACAAGAACTTATTAACAGGCACACACTCGGCCCACAAGCAGCTATCTGCAGACCATCACGCCTTTGCTTTGGTCTCTGTGGTCCTTCTGTAGTTACCTCCTACACTTCTCTGGCTGTCACCTCACAAGGAGGACAGCCTATGTTGTTGATCACAGCAAACCCAGGGCCTAAAATATGCTAAAAACATTTGCTAATAAATCAGTAAAAGTGGGGAAAAAAAATCTCCTAAATGGCTCTTTAAGTGGCCAAGAATGAAATCTTTCCTCAGATCTTTCAATATCACAATCGCTACTGACAGTGAAATAAAGTATCAGCTACTTGCAATTTCTGACCTCAGCTGTCTTCCAAAATGTAAAATAATTACAAATTGAAAAGTACTTAAGAAAAATTTTAATTATCTAAAATACAGAAATAAAGCTGCCTGAATAACTTGTTTTGGATAAAGGAATATATTTGTGATAAATTTTTGTTATAACAAGGTTTTTAACTTATTCCACTTATAACAAGTGTGGCTTATATGATCAAGTAAATGTTTTTATTAAGTTTATTTTAATTCCAGTATAGTTAACATACACTGTCATATTAGTTTCAGGTATACAATATAGCGATTCAATGATCAAGTAAATTTTTAAAAACACTGGGTACAAAAAGGAAAAACTGATTTCCTCAATGAAGGATTTTTCAGAGACTTCTGATACACTAACTTGCACAAATGATCCTCCAAGGGGAAGAAAGTAACACAGAGGTTTCCAAAAGTAATGGAACCTCCTTAGTGTAAGGCATCTTGGAAAAGTCTTGTTTCAATAACCACATTTTGGGTAACACTACTGTAGAAATTCTCCAGATCTTGAGAACGTCATTAAAACAGGGAAAGCAAGCCCTTACTATCAAATCAAGGATGTATAGGAAAGTCAGTTTGCAAAACTACTAACTGAAACATAAGGATAGAAAGGTAAGCTAAGAAGAGTTTTATTGGTATGATTAGCCCTAGGTCTCCTGAACATAATGATAAAGGGTACTATGAAAAAAGAAATGTTTTCCACATCCTGATGCTACTTACATGATCACAAAGAAAGAGACCTGTGATGACCAAACTCCAAGAGAATCTCCAATTAACTCTGCTTCCTTATATTCACATTTTTCCGTAGTTCCTTCCCACGCTGTACCAAAATTGGTCAGTGTGACCAACAGAATATAGCAAAAATGATATGTTACTCCCACGATTAGGCTCTAAAAGACTATGGCTTACATTTTGGTTACTCTCTGTGGAATCACTTGCCATGCTGTGAACAGCCCAATTCAAAAGCTCACATGCTAAGATTACTGGCCTCCTGCTGATAACCACATGATTTGGAAGCATATTATCCAACCCTAACCAATCTTTCAGATGACTGTAGCCCAGGCCATTATCTTGCCTACAAACTAAAAAGAGACTCCAAGTCAGAACCATCCAGCTAAGCCTCTGATTCCAGACCCTTTGGACTGCAAGGGATTATAAATGTTTGTTCTTTCAAATTACTGAATTTGGGGGAATTTGTTATATAGCAATAGATAATGCAGGACCTCTGCTCCAAACTTCCGTGATGAGAAAGGGCTAGCATCCACTTTTCATTTCAGTATCACAGGTCAGAATCCAAAACATTCACAGGACATTTTTTTTTTTTACTGAGGGGGTGGAGTCACTACATTAAAAAGACAATTCATGGGGCGCCTGGGTGGCTCAGTTGTTTAAGCCTCTGTCTTTGGCTCAGGTCATGATCCCAGGGGCCTGGGATCAAGCCCTGCATCAGGCTTCCTGCTCAGGGGAAGTCTGCCTCTCCCTATTCATCTGCCTCTCTCCCAGCTCATGTTCTCTCTTGCGCTAATAAATAAATAAAAGCTTAAAAAAAAAAAAAAAAGACAATTCATGCCAGTTGCTTACTGTCTTATAGCTACTAGGCAGTAAACTACTTTGCAAATCCACATCCTCTCCAATAAAGAGATAAAGCAGGGCCAAAAGTTGGGGGTTAATGAGTATTTACTAAAGCTCAATAACAAAAGTAATAATTCATCCATGCACTTAAAATCACAACTTAAAAAAAGATACAAAGAATAGAAGATCAAGTGGTGTGTCTATTTGGCAGGTTCACAAAAAACAGGGAATTTATCCTTCAGGGTGTATTCTTCTCAGAACAATAATTCACTGGAGAAGGCAGGACATGTCTTTTATTTATTTTTAAAAAGACTTTGAGAGAGAGAAAGCGTGTGTGTGTGTGTGTGCATGGGCGCACGTGCAGGGGAAGAGGAAGAAGCAGACTCCCCACTGAAAACAGAGCCTGATCCCAAGACCCTGAGATCACAACCTGAACCGAAGTCAGATACTTAACTGACTCAGCCACCCAGGTACCCCGACATGTCTTTAAATAAGCAATCAGTCCCCTCAAGGGTCCTCTGGATCTTCTAAGCAATTGGTTCTCATCAGCTATACTCAAAAACAAAATAAAACATGGGGTGCCTGGGTGGCTCAGTCGTTAAGCGTCTGCCTTTGGCTCAGGTCACAATCCCAGGGTCCTGGGATCGAGCCCCGCATCAGGCTCCCTGCTCCACGGGAAGCCTGCTTCTCCCCCTCCCACCCCCCTGCTTGTGTTCCCTCTCTTGCTGTGTCTGTCAAATAAATAAATAAAATCATTAAAAAAAAAAAAAAAGAAAGAAAAAAAAAGAAACTGGTTCTAAGTTTCCTGAATCTGGACATAGAAGCTAAAAGAGAAGGACCTAAAAAACTAGATGTAAAAATAAATAAAAATTCCTACTCAGTTCAGGACGTGAAGAACTAGTGTAACTATTTAGAGATCATACCATGTAGCATCAATCAAAAGAAAGCTATTATCTCATGAGGAGGCATTCAGCTCCTAACTTTGAAGACAAAGTGCAGAAAAAGCAGATGAGAAACACTAGCAAAAGCAATGATACCACCCCCTGTGAATACCAGCATGGCAACATGGTCGGCTTTCCCAGACAGTGCTGAAAATGGCAGCTACAGACTGAGGTAACTGGCGATAATGGGAAATAACTGCAGAAGGTAACTATTGTAACCAAAGCAGCAGAACTACCCAGAAACCACTGGGAGGGGAAGAAGCCAAGAAATTAAGAGTTCCAATGGTTCTTGGCCAAATATCACCCCTGTATGTACCTAAATTGGTGAGGTATGGGAAAACTAATTACATATATTGCAAATGTACCATAATTCTCTGAATCTAAGAAACATCGTCAATCATAAGATGCACCATTATTTCATGGAACACTAGAAAAGGAAAATTGCTGCCAATTAAACAATAACACACCATTGGTAAGACATCGATTCCAAATGTTTAAATATGAAAAAAACGTGCATTTAAAATCTATCAATATTATATTAATAAAAGTTTAATTTCTGAGTAAATTTAATGTCTAAAATGATTCTTTTCTCAATTGTTTATTTTTTTGAAGATTTATTTATTTATTTATTTGAGAAAGAGAGAGAGAGAGAGAGCATGAGAGGGGGGAGGGTCAGAGGGAGAAGCAGACTCCTCACCAAGCAGGGAACCTGATGTGGGACTTGATCCCGGACTCCAGGATCATGACCTGGGCTGAAGGCAGACACTTAAAAACTGAGCCACCCAGGCGCCCCTCTTTTCTCAATATTTAACACCTAACCAAAAATACATGATCTCCGTCAATCTTTAAATATGCATTTTATTTCCAGAATTTGCACAATAGCAGTACACA